ACTATAGTAGTAGACTGACTATAGTAGTAGACTGGCTATAATAGTAGACTGGCTATACATTTACATTACATTTTAGTCAGTTTAGCAGACGCTCTTATCCAGAGCGACTTACAGGAGCAATTAGGGTTAAGTGCCTTGCTCAAGGGCACATTTACGTCATTTAGCAGACGCTCTTATCCAGAGCGACTCACCAATTGGTATAGTAGTAGACTGGCTATAGTAGTAGACTGACTATAGTAGTAGACTGGCTATAGTAGTAGACTGACTATAGTAGTAGACTGACTATAGTAGTAGACTGGCTATAATAGTAGACTGACTATAGTAGTAGACTGGCTATAATAGTAGACTGACTATAGTAGTAGACTGGCTATAATAGTAGACTGACTATAGTAGTAGACTGGTTATAGTAGTAGACTGACTATAGTAGTAGACTGGTTATAGTAGTAGACTGGCTATAGTAGTAGACTGGCTATAGTAGTAGACTGGTTATAGTAGTAGACTGACTATAGTAGTAGACTGGTTATAGTAGTAGACTGACTATAGTAGTAGACTGGCTATAATAGTAGACTGGCTATAGTAGTAGACTGGCTATAATAGTAGACTGGCTATAGTAGTAGACTGGCTATAGTAGTAGACTGGCTATAGTAGTAGACTGGCTATATAGTAGACTGGCTAGACTGGCTATAGTAGTAGGCTGGCTATAGTAGTAGACTGGCTAGTAGTAGACTGGTTATAGTAGACTGGCTATAGGACTGGCTATAAGTAGTAGACTGGCTATAGTAGTAGACTGGCTATATAGTAGACTGGCTATAATAGTAACTGGCATAGTATTAGACGTCTATAATAGTAGACTGCTATAGTGAGACAATATAGTTTTAATTTCCTTACTTTAGTCATTAGCAGACCTCTTATCAGTACTAGTAGACTGCTATAGACTGGCTATGTAGTAGACTGCTATAGTAGTAGACTGGCTATAGTAGTAGACTTGTATAGACGGTTAGTAGTAGACTGCTATAGTAGTAGACTGTCTATAGTAGGTAAAACTGGTATAGTAGTAGACTGGCTATAATAGTAGACTGCTATAGTAGTAGACTGGCTATAATAGTAGACTGGCTATAGTAGTAGACTGGCTATAGTAGTAGACTGTACTATAGCTGGCTTAGTAGTAGACTGGTATAGTAGTAGACTGCTATAGTAGTAGAACTGGCTATAGTAGTAGACTGGCTATAAGGTTTGTAGGACTGGCTATAGTAGTAGACTGGCTATAGTAGTAGACTGGCTATAGATGGTAGTAGACTGGCTATACGGTTTGTAGTAGACTGGCTATAGTAGTAGACTGGCTATAGTAGTAGACTGGCTTATAGTAGACTGGCTATAATAGTAGACTGGCTATAGTAGTAGACTGGCTATAGTAGTAGACTGAATATAGTAGTAGGTGACTGGCTATAGTAGTAGACTGGCTATAGTATAGACGGCTATAGTAGTAGGACTGGCTATAGTAGTAGACTGGCTATAGTAGTAGACTGATATAGTAGTAACGGCTATAGACTGGCTATAATAGTAGACTGACTTAGTAGTAGACTGAATATAGTAAATAGACTGGCTTTTAGAACTGGCTATATGTAGTAACTGTTATAGTAGACTGATTAGTATAGTAGGGTAGACTGGCTATAGTAGTAGGGCTCTATAGTATAGACTGGCTATAGACTGGCTATAGTAGTAGACTGACTATAGTAGTAGACTGGCTATAGTGTTAGACTGCTATAGAGTAACTGGCTATAGATAGTAGACTGGCTATATAGTATACTGGCTTATAGTAGTAGACTGGCTATATAGTAGACTGGGCTATAATAGTAGACTGGCTATAGTAAGTAGACTGGCTATATAAGTAGACTGGCTATAATATTAGTACTGGCTATAGGTAGCAGACTGGCTATAGTAGTAGACTGGCTATAGTAGTAGACTGGCTATAGACTGGCTATAGAACTGCTATAGTAGTAGACTGGCTATAGACTGGCTATAGTAGTAGACTGGGCTATAATAGTAGACTGGCTATAATAGTAGACTGGCTATAGACTGGCTATAGTGATTAACTGGCTATAGTAGTAGACTGGCTATAGACTGGCTATAATAGTAGACTGGCTATAGTAGTAGACTGGCTATAGACTGGCTATAGTAGTAGACTGGCTATAGACTGGCTATAGTAGTAGACTGGCTATAGACTGGCTATAGTAGTAGACTGGCTATAGACTGGCTTAGTAGTAGACTGGCTATAGTAGTAGACTGGCTATAGATGCTATAGTAGTAACTGGCTAAGTAAGCAGACTGCTATAGACGGCTATAGAGTAGACGGCTATATAGTAACTGGGATAAAGTAGACTGGCTAGAGTAGACTGGCTATAGTAGTAGACTGGAATCTATTAGTAGATGGCTAGACTGGCTATAGTAGTAGACTGGCTATAGTTAGGCTAGACTGGCTAGTAGTAGACTGCAATAAGTAGTTAGACTGGCATATAAGACTGGCTATAGTAGTAGACTGGCTATAACTGGCTATGTATAGATGGCTATAGACGCATGAGATGTATAACTGGCTATAGTAGGACTGGCTATAGGACTGGCTATAGTAGTAGACTGGCTATAGTAGTAGACTGGCTATAGTAGTAGACTGGCTATAGACTGGCTATAGTAGTAGACTGGCTATAGACTGGCTATAGTAGTAGACTGGCTATAGTAGTAGACTGGCTATAGACTGGCTATAGTAGTAGACTGGCTATAGACTGGCTATAGTAGTAGACTGGCTATAGTAGTAGACTGGCTATAATAGTAGACTGGCTATAGTAGTAGACTGGCTATAGTGTAGACGGCTATAGATGGCTAATATAGTAGACTGGCTATAGTAGTAGACTGGCTTTTAGTAGTAGACTGGCTTTTTAACTGGCTATAGTAGTAGACTGGCTATATAGTAGACTGGCTATAGTAGTAGACTGGCTATAGTAGTAGACTGGCTATATATAGACTGGCTATTTAGTGACTGGCTATAGTAGTAGACTGGTATTTGACTGGCTATAGTAGTAGACTGGCTATAGTAGTAGACTGGCTATAATAGTAGACTGGCTATAGACTGGCTATAGTAGTAGACTGGCTATAGTAGTAGACTGGCTATAATAGTAGACTGGCTATAATAGTAGACTGGCTATAGTAGTAGACTGGCTATAGACTGGCTATAGTAGTAGACTGGCATAATATAGACTGGCTATAGTAGCAGACTGGCTATAGTAGACTGGCAAATTAGACTTTGGGACTAAACTGGAAGTAGGGAGGTGCTTGGTAGGACGGGAAAACACGGGGCTTAGTGTAGACTGGCACTACCACAAGAATATAACTCATATGTACTAGAACAACTATAGTATAGAACACAATAATACACACCTGGCTATTAACCATAGGACGGCAATACATTAAATAATCCACATCTAACTCTAAGGCTGGCTAATTAGTGACTTTGGCTATATAGTAACACACTTCAGGGGTTGAGCTAGTGTTATTTACCTGGCTATAATGTATAAAGGCTAGTAGCAACTGGCTATATGAGTAATCTATATAGGGAACTTTGGTAAAATGTGTCTGGCTTAGTAGTAGAACTGTCTATAGGTATGTCCTGGCAAACCTTTTTATATGTGACCTTTTAAGGAACTCATTGGACAACTGGCTAAGATGGCTTGTACCTGAGTTTCGCCTCACAACTCATCTGCTTAGTAGGGTTTGGGAGACAGGCACAGCTCTCGCTCTTGAAGGTAACAACTCTGTTATTTAGAGTAAAAGATCATTGACATTTGGGCCATCTTGGCCTGCATTCAGACAGCCGACTGATTAGTTAGGTCTTTTAAACTGCTCCTCTGGTGCCTGTCAGACCATTACACAGTGAATCAATGCCAGCCATCAGCAGATAGAGCCTGCGTCCCAAATGGCACCCTATTCCCAATAGCAGAGCCTGGTCAAAAGTAGTGCACTATAGAGGGAATAGGGTGCCATTTGGGACACAGTATATACTTGGACAGGGGGCCAGACAGTGAATCAGACAGTGTATCATCAATTCCAGCAGCCATCAGACAACAGCCAGAGAGAGAGAGAGAGAGAGAGAGAGAGAGAGAGAGAGAGAGAGAGAGAGAGAGAGAGGAGAGAGAGAGAGGAGAGAGAGAGAGAGAGAGGAGGAGGAGAGAGAGGAGAGAGAGAGAGAGAGAGAGAGAGAGAGAGAGAGAGAGAGAGAGAGAGAGAGAGGGGGGAGGGAAAATAAGGATTGAGGGAGATCGAGAGCGAACAAGAGAGAAGTATAAAAAATGGATTATACTATCCTCTTATACTAGAGAGAGAGAGAGAGAGAGAGAGAGAGAGAGAGAGAGAGAGTCTGGGGGCTGAACCATTGATGTAGTGAGTAAAGACTAAAGCTTCTCATCAGGGTAAAAGCCTACTTTATTTCCTTAGAGAGGGACAATCCTTCGATCCTTTCGTAGCCAATTCACTTCACAGTCTGAGGAAAAAGAGGAGGTCCTTTGGCTGGGACTCTACTTTGTACGCCACACAATTGGGTTATCAGCTAACGTGAATCCAATGTGAGAACTAAACCGTTGAGCCCTGACTACTGTAATCTATACTGTACGTTGAATGTATTAGGTCTACCTCGTAGGTGGTCGCCAGCTCCTTGCCATTGGCTGTGAAGGAGAGAAAGCCTGTTGCCAGATCAACGAGACAGCCAATCTCCAGGTCGATGTTAGACCGGGATGAGGAGTGGGAGGAGCTGACAACATCTCCAGCACACACCATGTAGCAGTTACTCCTCCGAACACTGGAAACGGACAGACAGTGGAGGGAAGAGAGTTAAAAAAAGTGAGTGACGGAGGGAGGGAGGGAGGGATCAAGAGAGTAATCAAGTGAGTTAGTGAATGTGTGAGTGAGTGAGTACATGAATGAATGATGTCAACACTCCAGTTAAATGTCTATCCCTAAAAAGCAAGAACTTGCCTCTCGTGGACACGTCCCCTCTCGTCTCCCAGGGTTACGGTAACCGTGCGTGTCTTGTTGAGGCTAAATTGTTTGCTATGGTAATGGTAGTCAGGGGTTACCCAGCCAACCCACACCGATGCTGGGTCCTGGCCAGCAAACACCCTCACTGAGTGATAGTACGTTGTGATGCTGCCATAATCATCTTGCTTTGGAGGCTGACTGCAAAAGGAAAAGCACCAGGTAAAATCAACGATATGTTATCAGGTCCCGCCTTCACATTAAGTAAGTGTATAAAATAATCTTATATTGATTGATAGATTGATGTTTATTGCCTTCCAAAAGGAACATTTGAATTTCTAAAGCCTTGGTTGAAAGCAAAATGTGTGTTTCTGCCTCAGTGTTTCTGCCTCAGTGTTTCTGCCTCAGTGTTTCTACCTCAGTGTTTCTGCTTCAGTGTTTCTGCCTCAGTGTTTCTGCCTCAGTGTTTCTGCCTCAGTGTTTCTACCTCAGTGTTTCTGCCTCAGTGTTTCTGCCTCAGTGTTTCTGCCTCAGTGTTTCTGCCTCAGTGTTTCTACCTCAGTGTTTCTGCTTCAGTGTTTCTGCCTCAGTGTTTCTGACCTGAGTTTCTGCCTCAGTGTTTCTGACCTGAGTTTCTGCCTCAGTGTTTCTGACCTGAGTTTCTGAGACTCGTCAGCCTTGATATGAGGAGCGTGGAGCTCTACAGGCATGCTCAGTCTGCAGTACAGCATGTCACTGTTGCTCTGCTGGGTCCCAAACGTCTTGTGTGTCACCTTCAGACACGGGGGGTTGTCCACTGTCCCATCTATCCTCGTCACCTGGGGACAGCACAATCAGATTCAGAGAGGAGGAGCAGTCACAATCCGATTCAGAGGGGAAGAGCAGTCACAATCCGATTCAGAGGGGAAGAGCAGTCACAATCCGATTCAGAGGGGAAGAGCAGTCACAATCCGATTCAGAGGGGAAGAGCAGTCACAATCAGATTCAGAGGGGAAGAGCAGTCACAATCAGATTCAGAGGGGAGGAGCAGTCACAATCAGATTCAGAGAGGAGGAGCAGTCACAATCAGATTCAGAGGGGAGGAGCAGTCACAATCAGATTCAGAGAGGAGGAGCAGTCACAATCAGATTCAGAGGGGAGGGGCAGTCACAATCAGATTCAGAGGGGAGGAGCAGTCACAATCAGATTCAGAGGGGAAGAGCAGTCACAATCAGATTCAGAGGGGAGGAGCAGTCACAATCAGATTCAGAGGGGAAGAGCAGTCACAATCAGATTCAGAGGGGAGGAGCAGTCACAATCAGATTCAGAGGGGAAGGGCAGTCACAATCAGATTCACAGGGGAGGAGCAGTCCCAATCAGAAGGGAAGAGCAGTCACAATCAGATTCAGAGGGGAGGAGCATTCACAATCATATGGAGAGGAGAATGATTAGCATTCAGAACCAGGGAGGAAACTTTACGTTTGGCACATCTTAAACCACTGACAAACCAATTTGCTTTAAATCGTCAGGCTTTAGTGGAGATTGATCAACATCAGGCCCTTGGGTGATCATGCCACTAAATAGTAAAACGGTACCTCGATGTGGTTGTGGTCCTTGGGGATGTTGACGAAGGTAGGCAGGCGTTTGCTGAACCACATGGTGACCTCACGGTTCATGTTGACAGCGAAGGGTTCGAAGCCCTCCTGGAGGCCACACATGGTGTAGTACTTAAAGGAGCTGGCGTCCTTCCCCAGGTTCATACGGCCAATCTCAGACTGGGCCAAACAACACACTGGGATGAAGCCTGGAGGGGTTAGAGGTCAGAGGTCAGAGGTTAGAGGTTATAAGGTCAATCTGGGACTGGGCTAGACAACACACTGGGATGAAGCCTGGAGGGGTAGTGGTCAGAGGTAAAAGGTTATAAGGTCGATCTGGGACTGGGCCAGTCAACACACTGCGATGAACCCTGGAAAGCATAGAGGTCAGAGGTTAACGTATGTTTTTGGAAAGGAGCTAATCTTAAACCTCAACCCAAAAGCAATTAACTTCGCAAAACTACCCATTATTTGGAAAGCACTCTGTTACACCGCACTCCCCTAGATTCTAGAATATTGGAGAATAAGCTTAATTTGGAACACAACAACCGATATGATTTACATTAAGTAACTGTGTGTTTCTTCCAACAGCAACACAAGAAATGACAGATTTTCCCATTGCTTTGCTGATTTATGTTTCACTTTATGTTTACATAAACATACGGGGCGGCAGGTAGCTTAGTGGGTAAGAGCGTTGTGCCAGTAACCGAAAGGTCGCTGGTTCTAATCCCCGAGCCGACTAGGTGAAAAATCTGTCGATGTGCCCTTAAGCAAGGCACTTAACCCTAATTGCTCCTGTAAGTCGCTCTGGATAAGAGCGACTGTAAATGTACATGCTCTCCACGCCGATTTCTAAGAAAAGACATTCAAACCTCAAGAGTACCTTTCTGGTAAAACATATATGGATAAATATGAACACATTTCATGATGCAAAGCCAATTTATGTGAAAACGGACAATAAAACAGTTTATTTTATCTTGATGAAAACATAAAGTTAGCTTAGGAAGGATGAACCTCAATCTCCCATCTTCCTAGAGGGAAAAGGAGACTACAGAATCTTCCAAGTTGAGACTAAGGAAGGATAAAGATGAACCCACCATCGTCTGTCTGGAAGTCAACTATGCAGAGCTCTGATCCCTTGTAAAAATGAACCCACAATCGTCTGTCTGGAAGTCAACTATGCAGAGCTCTGATCCCTTGTAAAGATGAACCCACCATCGTCTGTCTGGAAGTCAACTATGCAGAGCTCTGATCCCTTGTAAAGATGAACCCACCATCGTCTGTCTGGAAGTCAACTATGCAGAGCTCTGATCCCTTGTAAAGATAAACCCACCATCGTCTGTCTGGAAGTCAACTATGCAGAGCTCTGATCCCTTGTAAAGATGAACCCACCATAGTCTGTCTGGAAGTCAACTATGCAGAGCTCTGATCCCTTGTAAAGATAAACCCACCATCGTCTGTCTGGAAGTTAACTATGCAGAGCTCTGATCTCTTGTAAAGATAAATGCACCATCGTCTGTCTGGAAGTCAACTATGCAGAGCTCTGATCCCTTGTAAAGATGAACCCACCATCGTCTGTCTGGAAGTCAACTATGCAGAGCTCTGATCCCTTGTAAAGATGAACCCACCATAGTCTGTCTGGAAGTCAACTATGCAGAGCTCTGATCCCTTGTAAAGATAAACCCACCATCGTCTGTCTGGAAGTCAACTATGCAGAGCTCTGATCCCTTGTAAAGATGAACCCACCATAGTCTGTCTGGAAGTCAACTATGCAGAGCTCTGATCCCTTGTAAAGATAAACCCACCATCGTCTGTCTGGAAGTCAACTATGCAGAGCTCTGATCTCTTGTAAAGATAAATGCACCATCGTCTGTCTGGAAGTCAACTATGCAGAGCTCTGATCCCTTGTAAAGATGAACCCACCATCGTCTGTCTGGAAGTCAACTATGCAGAGCTCTGATCCCTTGTAAAGATGAACCCACCATCGTCTGTCTGGAAGTCAACTATGCAGAGCTCTGATCCCTTGTAAAGATGAACCCACCATCGTCTGTCTGGAAGTCAACTATGCAGAGCTCTGATCCCTTGTAAAGATAAACTCACCATCGTCTGTCTGGAAGTCAACTATGCAGAGCTCTGATCCCTTGTAAAGATAAACTCACCATCGTCTGTCTGGAAGTCAACAAAGCAGAGCTCTGATCCCTTGTAAAGATAAACTCACCATCGTCTGTCTCGAAGTCAACGAAGCAGAGCTCTGATCCCTTGTTAGTGATGAGTAGCTCTCCATTGAGAGTGAAGACCATAGACTTGTCCTCCATGTTGATCATGCAGCCCACCACGTCTCCCTTGTTCCATGACTGCCCGAAGAAACGCGCACCCATGTGCATACGACGACCCTGGGGGAACAACCATCAACACTTATTACTATCCCTAATGCAATAATCACCCCTGAAACGTGAAGTCGATCAAGTGTACAATCAAGCGTATGACCAAGTGTACAATAATTTGCCTTGGTGATTGGCATGTCAGTTTTTTCTGATTTAGCCAACTTGCTGTTGGCTTGTTTGGCAACAATATATCATTGCTGATTGCAGAATCAGTTAGGCCTATACGTACATGATAATAAACTTAAACACCCAGTCACTACAAAGTTACAGTCGTCCTTCCTAACTCATTTGCCGGAGAGGAAGGAAATCACTCAGGGAATATTTTTATTCTCTACAGGCTTCCTTCTTTTCACTCTGTCATTTAGGTTAGTATTGTGGTAACTACAATGTTGTTGATCCATCCTCAGTTTTCTCCTATCACAGCCATTAAACTCTGTAAATGTTTTAAAATCACCATTGGTGTCACGTCTCCTCCCGTTGCTCCCCTCCGGCGCTCTGATTCGCCGGTCTACTGAGCCACCGGTCTGAGCGCACCACCTCGGCAACAGCGGAATGGAAACCCAACGCACCCTAATCACCTCCAGCGCACCTGCACCTCATCATCTCATCACCACCCCTGTTTAGCCCTGGACTGTTCTGGATGATGTTGTGTGTGATTGTTAAGCTTCGTGTCGTTTACTCTATGTTTGTTATTTCTCGTTCTCCTTGTTAAGTAAACCTTGATGTTGTTTATTCCTGCGTCTGCGTCCTGCCTCTTCGTATACTCAGTACTCGTCACAATTGGCCTCATGGTGAAATCCCTGAGTGGTTTCCTTCCTCTCCGGCAACTGAGTTAGGAGGGACGCCTGTATCTTAGTAGTGACTGGGTCTATTGATACACCATCCAAAGTGTAATTAATAACTTCACCATGCTCAAAGGGATATTCAATGTCTGCTTTTTTTTTATTTCTACCCATCTACCAATAGGTGCCCTTTGCGAGGCATTGGAAAAACTCTCGGGTCTTTGTGGTTGAATCTGTGTTTGAAATTCACTGCTTGACTGGGGGACCTTACAGAAAATTGTATGTGTGGGGTACAAAGATGAGGTAGTCATTCAAAAATCATGTTAAACAATATTATTGCACACAGAGTGAGTCCATGAAACTTATTGTGACTTGTTGAGCACATTTTAACTCCAGAACTTATTTAGGCTTGCCATAACAAAGGGGTTGAATACTTATTGACGCAAGACATTTCAGCTTTTCATTTTGTATTAATTTGTAGAAATTTCACTTTGACATTATGGAGTATTGTGTGTAGACCAGTGACACAAAATCACAACAAAATGTGAAAAAATCAAGGGGTTTGAATACTTTCTGAAAGCACTGTAGATTATAATCAACTTCAAACAGTATAAAAGATAAGATATGTTAACATAACATAAAAACAGATAAGATCAAAACAGATAAGATATATTATTTAAAGATACTAATTGTTGTTTGTTTACCTTGTATCCATCGAAGACGTAAGCCTGGTCGTCCATGCCCAGGTCAAAGTCTGATCTACAGCCTGGTCTAGCCCAGCCAACCCTCATGTCCCCTCCGGTCAGGGCCTCAAACTCAAAGTACCACTTCCCTGTCTTCACTGCATACGTCTGCTCTACGCGGAAGAACCTGATCGTCTCAATGCTCTGCCTCTCCACAATATGACAGGCTGGGGACACAGGGAAGAAGACATTCAACCAATGAAAATGTATGAACTGCTAACGAGGCCCTGCACCTTTAAGGGCATATATGGGCCTAGCTAGAGAGATATCTTATATCTGTGGCAGAGCACTCAATCCGTCTCGAATGACCATATCTATTGCAGTCAATTGAAGACTAGAATCCACAGAAACGACTGAGAAAAGGGGAAGCACACATTCAGGTGGGCAGTGATAAGGATTTCTTTATCTAACGATATGTAAACTTACATTGATTGTGTAAGAATGACCTGTACCGGTTTGCTAGCCCATAGCCCATGACTTAGTTGCAGGATGGTACATGTGTATGACAAGATAACTTACCACCATATATTATATTGCTGTTACAGTCCTCTACCCACCTTCCTGGTCTGGGGGGTCGATGTTGTAGCCATATCCAACCAGGGTCCTGATGGCCTCTCTCAGACTGTCTCTGTTAGACTTCTTGGTTCTCTCGTCTAGCAGAGCGTACGGCACCAGACGAGGGTTACGCCTGCTCTTCACATCCTACAGAGAAATAACGACAACACAAATCAGCTCTGTCAGGGTTCCCTTGTTAAATGATGGTGTATACTATCAAGAATGGTGTGTTACACAACATCTAAATGCATAAAATGTATGCAATCAAAGCTCATCCGTTGATCTTATGCCTGATACACATCATTCATTCGCCGGTCACGAGTTGCTATGTATTTGCATTGAATTACACCTAAACTGTAATGGATAGAGAGCTGGGCCAAAACATGTACCTGCTGGATGCCGTAGGTCCATCCTTGTTTGATCCTGTCCTTGGCCCACACGTTGTGGGCGTTCTCCGCCAGTTTATCCACCAGAACCTCCTGACCAGCTGTCAGTTTCACCTCAGAAAGCTCCAGCGGTGTTGGCTTGTACCCGTTAGACATCACATAGCTACGGATATACACAGAATATAACCGTTAGACATCACACAGCTACGGATATACACAGAATATAACCGTTAGACATCACATAGCTACGGATATACACAGAATATAACCGTTAGATATCACACAGCTACAGATATACACAGAATATAACCGTTAGACATCACATAGCTACGGATATACACAGAATATAACCGTTAGATATCACATAGCTACAGATATACACAGAATATAACTGTTAGACATCACACAGCTACGGATATACACAGAATATAACCGTTAGACATCACATAGCTACGGATATACACAGAATATAACCGTTAGACATCACACAGCTGCATTAAACACAGGAAAATAATAGGTTAAGACAGTAGAAATAAGCTTTGAAGGAAAGCCTTCTAAGCCAGACCTCAAATGTAGAGTTGAATAAGTGTATCCAAGCCCAAGACAGTCTCCCTCTGATTTTCTAATGTAGCTCATCTCACATTGCTTTAATGACTGGTCATCTCAGAAATAATGATTCACAGTCACTGGGTACATTTCTCCCTAGAAACTCCTGCAGGGTTGTGTTAATGTAACTCGTAATCAACCTCCTACTGATCTAATAGGTACTAGTAGAAACCACATGACTTACTCTTTGGGCAGTTTGACTTTCTTCAGATCGTCCTCTGCGTTAACGTTGGTCTGTGCAACATGACATCCCAACGCCAACAGGGTCCTGAGACACATAGAGCGACAGGGAACAGGAGTTACCATGCATGCTTTCAATGCATGAACTTCACTATCATGTTCTGTTCTGTGAGGTGGAGGGGCTCGTTCCCTGGCAGACAGAAACTCTGGCCAGGTGAATCGTAGGGACCGCGGACACCACCGTGAGGTGGAGGGGATCGTTCCCTGGCAGACAGACACTCTGGCCAGGTGAATCGTAGGGACCGCGGACACCACCGTGAGGTGGAGGGGATCGTTCCCTGGCAGACAGACACTCTGGCCAGGTGAATTTAACAAGCAGCTATATGGCACTGCCAGCACCAGCACTATTCTGTTCCATTTATATTCCACATTACTGTTTCATGAGATCAGCACCAGTAACTTTATTTTATTTATTTTATTGATTGTATTGCCTTTGATGTGATCCAATAAAAACAATTGTTCACAAAACAAGCACCAGTAACTTTATTTTATTTTATTTATTGTATTGATTGTATTGCCTTTGATGTGATCCAATAAAAACACTTGTTCACAAAACAAGCACCAGTAACTTTAGTATTACTCATGTGTGAGTGCTGCAGCTGCTTCTTTCAGTTGATTCAAAATCCTGTGAACACTGAGTCACATGAACTGCATCTGAGCTGTATGAGGACGATATGAACGCAACTAGCTGCATCTAATGACCCGGGTCTCCTGAGTGAAACCTAGGGGTGCATTGATTTAAAGGGCCTGGAGGAGCTCTGAGCTCAGAGCGTAGTATTACACCTAAACAGATAGTCATCATCTTCCCCTGGACAGCGTCATCACACAGGCACTCCTTTAAAACACATGTCCTGGTACGAAATGTATGAAACATCCTCTTAGTCAAACATGGCTATCAATCACTGTGTGTGGAAGATGTAGATACTTTTTTTTTTTGGTAGATACTGGGATGACAGTCTGGTTGTCATCGGTGGCTACTATTTTCAGTGTAAATGGATGGAATGAGTAATGGGAATGTGTGATACAGTATGTATTAGTGTTAAGGATCTTAGCCTAGCTACTCACTTGAGAGTTTCGCTAGACATCTGCAGGTTATAGTTACTCTCAGTTTCAGGCAGCTTGGTGAAATCCACCAGGCACGGGTGCTGCCTCTTGTTGTCATCTCGAACCTGAGGGAGAGAGGAGAGGCGATGTAGCACGGTCACGTCTGGATGCACAAACTGATTTCGCTCTCTGTCTGCAACTATTGACAAAAACCTCAATGATGCACTTCATGACAACTAGAAGAAACTAGTAGAAACCTATTCATCAAATATTCTTCACGGGCTCAGCACAGAGTGAGAGCCCTTACTAACAAACCTATTCACCTCTCTGTGTTTACTGAATCAGAGCAAGCTTAAACACATTTTTTGCACAGATGTTTGTATTTATTTCCCTAGGTTAACTTGAGCAGCTGTCGGTAGAGTAATTGAGCAAGAGAATATGCTACGTTTAGCGGGGCCACTCAGACCTGGGTTCAAATACTATTTTAAATAATTTCAAACACTCTATATGTGCTTGATTGAGCTTGCCAGCTGCAATGGAACCAATAGAAAAGTCTCAAAAGTGCAGACCCTGCGCACCTGGAACTCAAGGCAGGCTAAAGCAAAAGCTCTGTATTTGAAAGATTTCGAATACTATTTGACCCAGGTCTGTGGAGTTCACAGAGCGAAGATAGCAGCTTTACTGTATGAATGTCTAACCAAGGTAAGTGTTCTCAGATTCAGAATAACACCTTGCCAGTGTGTGTGTGTGTGTGTGTGTGTGTGTGTGTGTGTGTGTGTGTGTGTGTGTGTGTGTGTGTGTGTGTGTGTGCATCGGACTTCAGCTGACAATAAAGAATGGTAGGAGTTTACAGAGGAGATCATTCCAACAGAAAGGGCATGTACTCTAGTTGATATGATACCCCTTAATATGTACCAAATAGTCCTGAGATAAATTACCAAACTAGCTGAGATGATAATGTACCAAACTAGTCTGAGATGATAAATGTACCAACTAGTCTGAGATGATAAATGTACCAAACTAGTCTGAATGATAAATGTACCAAACTAGTCTGAGATGATAAATGTACCAAACTAGTCTGAGATGATAAATGTACCAAACTAGTCTGAGATGATAAATGTACCAAACTAGTCTGAGATGATAAATGTACCAAACTAGTCTGAGATGATAAATGTACCAAACTAGTCTGAGATGATAAATGTACCACCAAACTAGTCTGAGATTATAAATGTACCAAACTAGTCTGAGATGATAAATGTACCAAACTAGTCTGAGATGATAAATGTACCAAACTAGTCTGAGATGATAAATGTACCAAACTAGTCTGAGATGATAAATGTACCAAACTCTAAGTGTATTGTCTTCTCATCATCCTGCCAAGTATCTGCCACTTGGTCTCGTCCGATCTCCTTCAGGATGTTGGGAGTTGGGACATGGTCAAAAGTATTGCACTATATATTGGATAGGGTGCAATTTGGGAACAAACCAATGTCACTTTCAAGCTAATGTCACTTTCAAGCTAAATATTGTCCTTAATGAATGAGAAGGTCAGAGCCCCCTGACTAAATATGATCCTTAATGAATGAGAAGGTCAGAGCCCCCTGACTAAATATGATCCTTAATGAATGAGAAGGTCAGAGCCCCCTGACTAAATATTGTCCTTAATGAATGAGAAGGTCAGAGCCCCCTGACTAAATATGATCCTTAATGAATGAGAAGGTCAGAGCCCCCTGACTAAATATTGTCCTTAATGAATGAGAAGGTCAGAGCCCCCCTGACTAAATATGATCCTGTAATGATGAGAAGGTCAGAGCCCCCTGACTAAATATGATCCTTAATGAATGAGAAGGTCAGAGCCCCCCTGACTAAATATGTTCCTTAATGAATGAGCAGGTCAGAGCCCCTTGACTAAATATTGTCCTTAATGAATGAGAAGGTCAGAGCCCCCTGACTAAATATGATCCTTAATGAATGAGAAGGTCAGAGCCCCTTGACTAAATATTGTCCTTAATGAATGAGAAAGTCAGAGCCCCCTGACTAAATATAACATTTTACACATTTAGCAGACGCTCTTATCCAGAGCGACTTACAGGAGCAATTAGGGTTAAGTGCCTTGCTCAAGGGCACATCGACAGATTTTTCACCTAGTCGGCTCGGGGATTAGAACCAGCGACCTTTCGGTTACTGGCACAACACTCTTAACCACTAAGCTACCTGCCGCCCCAATATGATCCTTAATGAATGAGAAGGTCAGAGCCCCCTGACTAAATATGATCCTTAATGAATGAGAAGGTCAGAGCCCCTTGACTAAATATTGTCCTTAATGAATGAGAAGGTCAGAGCCCCCTGACTAAATATGATCCTTAATGAATGAGAAGGTCAGAGCCCCCTGACTAAATATTATCCTTAATTAATGAGAAGGTCAGAGCCCCCTGACTAAATATTATCCTTAATTAATGAGAAGGTCAGAGCCCCCTGAGTAATGAGGCTCCTTATAGTCACAGCATCATTCATTTATTATATTATATTATGTACCAAACCAGCCTCCTCATACAGCCGTGGTTGGTGGTTGTGTTCTCCTGGCCTCAGAGGAAATGATTCTATGATAACCACTCTTGTATAAAGAACTATGGTGTGTGTGCTGAGCATTCTAACAACCACTCTTACTGCTGCAGTTAGGGAGGGAGGGAGGGAGGGGGGAGGGAGGCACCTACCTTGCCATAGGACCAGTGAGGTATAGCACCTACCTTGCCATAGGACCAGCCCAGTTCGATCTTGTTCATGCCCCACAGTTCATGAATGTTCTCTGCTAGTCTGTCACGCACGTGGTCCAGGTGAGGAGGCAGAACAATCTGGAGAGAGAGAGAGAGAGAGAGGCAGAGTGGAGAGATGGAGAAGTTGATTTAGTGTTGGGCAGTAAGATGAAGACAAGCTTTTAAACTTTGTGTTTTTAAAAAGTATATAAAAATGATTGATTGGTTTCTTGCTTGCTTGATCGATTGAGTGATTAATTGATCAATCAATCGGCTAACTGACTGACTGACTGACTGTTTACAGGTGTCCAGGTGTATGTTACCTGGCTGGTGTCTACAGGTGTGGGGATGAAGGAGGCCTGGGAGAGGAACTGTGTCGTCCCCAGTAGGTCCCTGACCCCTCCATGGTCCCTCTTGTACTCCTTCACAGGCTCCACCCTCATCTTCTCCTTGGGGAGCAGGGCCTCATAACATGGGGAGTAACCCGCCGGGGGCAGGAACTTAAAGTCTCCATGACGACCACCCAGCAGGAAACGTACCCTGAGGAGAGGCGGAGACCAGGAAGTTAGAGATAAAAGCTATTACTGGCCAAAATGATGTTGTGTAATATTCATATACCCAAAGCTAATCTATAGAACTATAGAACTATAGCCTCTAGAGTCTATTAAACTTTTCAGGTTCAGAACGTCTTCATTTTGCCATTGCTGGGCCATTTTCTTAAACTAATGCTATCCTAGCAACAACCCCATCCACTATGCAATCCCCACTCTCCAGCCTCTTCATATTCTCATCACAGTTCCTATTTATCCTATCCTGACCATTCACAAATTAATAAATTAACCTAGCTGGACCCTTGCTTGACCGCTGCGGAGAAGCTGTGAATGTGAGCGTCTGTGTCTGCGTCTGTGTGTCTCTGCGTGTGTGTGTGTGTGTGTGTGTGTGTGTGCGTGTGTGTGAGTGTGCTGGCCCCCTTACTTGACCCCTGCAGAGAAGCTGACTACGGGGAAGAAGAATCCGTCGGTGTTGAAGTCTTCAAACATGCCTTGTACTGGCTGGCCATTGATCCTGAAGGACATGGAGGGAACGCCCAGGTCCAGACAACAGCTCACTACATCATCACTGTTCAACAGGTGCTGGTTGATGGAGGCTACCGCCCGGGAGATACGGCCTGGGAGGAGAGGACGGGAGAGAGGAGGGGAGAAAAGGGTGAGGAGAGGAGGGGAGAAGAGAGGAGGGGAGAGAGGAGGGCGGGGGATTGAGGAGACAGGACGTATGAGAGTGGAAACTGAGGAGACGAGAGGATGAGAGAGCAGCTCCTGAGAGACCCATAGCCGCTTCTAGAAGGAAGAATTCCTAGAAGTCCTAGGAGAGCCGCTAATCTCCGCTCCTCGGCTCCGCTCCTCTTCTCCCTCCCCGAGAAAGAGAAGAGACACCGAGTCCGCTACCGCGCGACTTCCCCCCCTTCTAGAGGAGGAGTAGGGGAGGGGAGAGAGGGGAGAGAGAGAGAGAAGAGAAGAGGAGAGGAGGATGACTTATGATGGTCTTTATTGAGAACTTCAGTACCCCCCTGTGACCCAGAGATGGATGGTCGGAGTGGTTTCAAAACGCCTTCAAAGTCATGGAGGGCACGACTCAGTCTGGGGCCTCTTCAGAGGGGGAGAAGGGGCAGTGTAAGGTGTAGAATGGTAGGATGGATGGATGGATGGATAGACATGGTTCAACATGCTAAGGGAGGGGATGGGGGAGGGATGGGTGTAGGCTGTGTACAGACCAGAGTACCACCCCATCAGGCCTATATGGAGGGCAGACAGGGTAGAGATGGATGGGGGGGGGGGGGGGGGGAGCATGGAGAAATCAATTATGTATATAAACACTCGATTGCTGGAGCTATTTATTGGCCATTGAGAAGCGTTGACGTCACCGGTCGGCCATTTTGGCATTCCCCAGTAGGAGCAGTCCTCCATAGGAATTAATGGAATTCTACAGTATTTCAATTAAATGTTTCAAGGACAAAATTACATTTATTTAAGTATCTTGTTGTTGTAGTGGGGACAGTAACATTAGTAATCTTAAAACATTATTTTCATATATGTTTTCATTTTTTATTTGTATGTTTAGCTCACATAATATAATTTAAAAGTATGAATTAAGGTGTCTGTAATATACTGAACAAAAATATAAATGCAACATGTAAAGTGTTGGTCCCATGTTTCATGAGCTGAAATAAAAGATCCCAGAAATGTTCCATTCGCACAAAAAGTTTATTTCTCTCAAATTTTGTGCACAAATTAGTTTACATCCCTGTTAGTGAGCATTTCTCCTTGGCCAAGATAATCCATCCACCTGACAGGTGTGGCATATCAACAAGCTGATTAAACAGTATGATCATTACACAGGTGCACCTTGTGCTGGGGACAATAAAAGGCCACTCTAAAATGTGCAGTTGTGTAACATAACACAATACCACAGATGTCTCAAGTTTTGAGGGAGTGTGCAATTGGCATGCTGACTGCAGGAATGTGTTAGGCCTACTGCTGCTAGGTAGCTCTCTCTCTGCTCTCCCCCTCCCCTCTGTCTGTCCTTGATTGCAGGAGTGAAGTCTGGTGTGCGGGAGTCAGGGTTTCAGCTGCAGCTCATTCACCATAATCACCTCAGCCTTTAAGACCCGGTCAAACCTGCCACTCATCGTCAGATCATAGTCAAGACGACCATGTTAGTTTCGCTGTTGACTCAACCTGCTTGTTTTCGCCCTTTGTGTTTTTGGCCTGTTCTAGTTACTTTTTTCCTGTGCCACAGATTATTGGAACCTGACTCCTGCCTCCGCTTCACTCCTGCCACCACCATCCTGCTTTCCACTACCGGACCTCCCTTTTGGACTCACCACGGACACTAGGACATTACGGTACCACACCTGCTCTGAACCTGGATCTGTTACCCTCCCTGTAAACCTGGACTTGCTCTTCCCCTATTATTGGAAACCTGGACAAATTGTACTTTGTAAATAAACCTTCTCTGGCTCGGTGTAGTTGTCTGCATTTGGGTTCAAATCCAGTTAAATCATGACAGAATGTCCGCCAGAGCTGTTGCCAGATAATTGAATGTTAATTTCTCTACCATAAGCCACCTCCAACATCATTTTAGAGAATTTGGCAGTACGTCCAACCCGGCCTCACAACCGCAGACTACGTGTAACCACCCCAGCCCAGGACATCCACATTCGGCATTCTTCACCTGCGGGATTGTCTGAGACCAGCCACCTAGACAGCTGATCAAACTGAGGAGTATTTCTGTCTGTAATAAAGCCGTTTTTGTGGGGAAAACTCATTCTCAAATTGTTGCATGTTGCGTTTATATATTTTTGTTCAGTATAGAATAAACGTGGAATGAACGAATGTAGACATTAATAAATGCATTTCTATAGCTTCTACACAGCGCCCCCTGTCAGTCATCTAGTATATCTATAAATAATTGGGAGAAACTAGGGCAGAATCAGTCTGGGGGCTATTTAGATGGAGGGCCGGGTGACAGATGAGGGATGGTTGGTCAAGGGTGAGATTTTATTTTACTGTTATTTTTCCTTTGCTCTTGACCACAAAATGATGACCTCAGGATTTCAACTCCCAAAATAGCAGTGGCATTTCACATCACAATGGCAGAAAATGTAAACAGTTATATAAGCTACTGCTTGTAATACTGTGTCTCTGCCCTTGACATTAAAAATCCAAACCTTGAAACACACATTTCAGGACTTAACTCCCAAATGACATAAGGGTCAGGGTCAAATCAGGACAGGTAGAGTCATGCAGAACCTCAGCAAGTGTACCTGATAACAGGTAGAGTCATGCAGAACCTCAGAGAGCTTACCTGAACTCAGGTAGAGTCATGCAGAACCTCAGAGAGCTTACCTGAACACAGGTAGAGTCATGCAGAACCTCAGAGAGCTTACCTGAACTCAGGTAGAGTCATGCAGAACCTCAGAGAGCTTACCTGAACTCAGGTAGAGTCATGCAGAACTTCAGAGAATGTACCTGACCACAGGACCACAGTACTCTAGTTGTCCCGAGTGGCGCAGTGGTCTAAGGCCACTGCGATGCAGTGCTAGCTGTGCCACTAGAGATCCTGGTTCGAATCCAGGCTCTGTCGTAGCTGGTCGCGACCGGGAGACTCATGGGCGGCGCACAATTGGCCCAGTGTCGTGTAGGGTAGGGGAGGGAATGGCCGGCAGGGATGTAGCTCAGTTGGTAGAGCATGGCATTTGCAACGCCAGGGTTGTGGGTTTGATTCCCACGGGGGGTATGATAAAAAAAATTAAAAAAATGTATGCACTAACTGTAAGTTGCTCTGGATAAGAGCGTCTGCTAAATGACTAAAATGTAATGTAAATGTAGGTAGAGTCATGCAGAACCTCAGAGAGCTTACCTGAACACAGGTACCTCAGAGAGCTTATCTGAACTCAGGTAGAGTCATGCAGAACCTCAGAGAGCTTACCTGAACTCAGGTAGAGTCATGCAGAACCTCAGAGAGCTTACCTGAACTCAGGTAGAGTCATGCAGAACCTCAGAGAGCTTACCTGAACACAGGTAGAGTCATGCAGAACTTCAGAGAATGTACCTGACCATAGGCAGAGTCATGCACAGTGGTGGAAAAAGTACCCAATTGTCTTTGATTAAAAGTAAAGATACCTTAATAGAAAATGACTCAAGTAAAAGTCTAAAAGTATTTGGTTTTCAGTATCAAAAGTAAATGTTATTGCTAAAATATACTTCAGTATCAAAAGTAAAAGTATAAATCATTTAAAGTTCCTTATATTAAGCAAACCAGACGGCACCATTTTCTTGTTGTTTTTTATTTACAGATAGCTAGGGGCACGCTCCAACACTCAGACATAATTTACAAACAAAGCATGTGTGTTTAGTGAGTCCGCCAGATCAGAGGCAGTAGGGATGACCAGGGATGTTCTCTTGATAAGTGTGTGAATTAGACCATTTTCCTGTCCTGCTAAGCATTCAAAATGTAACGAGTACTTTTGGGTGTCAGGGAAAATGTATGGAGTAAAAAGTACATAATTTTCTTTAGGAATATAGTGAAGTAAAAGTAAAGTACAGATACAAAAACTAAAAAACGACTTAAGTACACAACTGGCCATGCAGAACCCCAGAGAGTGTACCTGAACACAGGTAGAGTCATGCAGAACCTCATAGATTGTACCTGACCACAGGTAGAGGCATGCAGAACCCCAGAGAGCATACCTGACCACAGGTAGAGTCCATCAAAGCTGTATGAGTAAAGGTCGTCACCCACCCCGTTGCCCCCCCAGCCCTCTCCACCCCCCGGGTAGGGGGCATAACCCTTAGTGGAGGCCCAGCCCACACGCAGGTGGGACGGCTCGCTGGTCACATAGTGGTCCACCTGAGAGAGAGAGAGAGAGAGAGAGAGAGAGAGAGAGAGAGAGAGAGAGAGAGAGACAAGGCATTGTACGTGTGGTAGCGAAGAGCTGAATTGCGAGTACAACTTACATTTTAAATATAAAAACTGGCAATACTATTACTACACAATAAACAAAACACATAAGCAATGAAATAGATGAATGTGAGAAAAGTAATGTCCACCTGGTCGATCATCAGCTCAAAGTACCACTTCTTATACTGGGCTGAACCCTCCGCCACTCCTAGGAAGATGTTAGGCCTCATACTGGAAACAGAGGACATCGAGATGAAGACAGAGAGATGAAGACAGAGAGATGAGGACAGAGAGATGAGGACATCGAGATGAAGACAGAGAGATGAGGACATCGAGATGAAGACAGAGAGATGAAGACAGAGAGATGAAGACAGAGAGATGAGGACAGAGAGATGAGGACAGAGAGATGAGGACATCGAGATGAAGACAGAGAGATGAAGACAGAGAGATGAGGACAGAGAGATGAGGACATCGAGATGAAGACAGAGAGATGAAGACATCGAGATGAAGACAGAGAGATGAAGACATCGAGATGAAGACAGAGAGATGAAGACAGAGAGATGAAGACAGAGAGATGAAGACAGAGAGATGAAGACAGATATGAGGACAAGAGATAAGACAGAGAGATGAAGACAGAGAGATGAGGACAGAGAGATGAAGACAGAGAGATGAAGACAGAGAGATGAAGACAGAGAGATGAGGACAGAGAGATGAGGACAGAGAGATGAAGACAGAGAGATGAAGACAGAGAGATGAGGACAGAGAGATGAGGACAGAGAGATGAAGACAGAGAGATGAAGACAGAGAGATGAAGACATCGAGATGAAGACAGAGAGATGAAGACATAGAGATGAAGACAGAGAGATGAGGACAGAGAGATGAAGACATCGAGATGAAGACAGAGAGATAGGACAGAGAGATAAGACAGAGAGATGAGGACAGAGAGATAGTACGAGATATGAAGACAGATAGATGAAGACAGAGAGATGAGGACAGAGAGATGAAGACAGAGAGATGAGGACAGAGAGATGAGGACAGAGAGATGAAGACAGAGAGATGAGGACAGAGAGATGAAGACAGAGAGATGAAGACAGAGAGATGAAGACAGAGAGATGAGGACAGAGAGATGAGAAAAAAGTCAAAGATTGTGGCTTTAAGTAAGGTGTGCTGCAGTGCTGCAAGACAGACAGATAGATTAAACATTATTCGTATTTCTATTCCATGTTCTTTTATATTGCAGTCATAAAATCTGTGTTGAGTTTGTATTAAATCACACCGATTCAGTTAACAAGACATGTGCAGTAGTAAATCAAGAGTGAATGTATGCCTTATGTAATTAACCCTTCAGCAACAACTTGCTAATTGCCTGCTGTTATGGAGCACATTGTTGTATGAATGGTGTTCATTAACCCAATGAGTCCCGCCATCGCGCCGGCATGATTTGGCCTACAGACTGTGTTTGAGCTACAGCCCTTTGTGGTTATACCATCAGATTCGTCTTTTTCTTCTGCATCTGTTGGTACCAACCATTGTGTGATTAACAGGGGGCTGAGCTAGAGCGTTGTTTGTGAGACAAGGGTGGATCCTGAAGGGTTCCGGGCCACTGTTTTTTTTTTACAAAAATGTCTGTATAGTCAGAATGGTTTGAGAATGGTTTTGCTCTATGACGCTCACAAACTGCAAAATAGTCTTAGAAGGCAAGGGGTTCTTCTACATAGAACACAGCTGTCACTGACTAGTTGGATATTCATTTCCCACTGAGCAAACCATTTCTGTACTTACAGAATTCATATACATTCATTTTCATCAGGTTTTTGCTTTGACTGACCTTTTCTTTATTGACATTTGTCAATAAAACTCATGAATGCAACTATTTATGTCAAATAGCTTTGTGTTCTACTTGTAGCCCTGGTTGCCCCCCCCCCCCCCCCCTCCAAAAAAAAAAAAAAAGGTAAACCACTTCATTGTGAGGCTAAATATAAGGGCTGGACATGTAGATAAATGAAAGTCACATAAAAGAAAAGCCGATTTTTGCTGGGGTCTCGGGACTGATAGGGTTTTAACAAGGATATGTTGCAGAGAACACCATAGAATTATAATGATTACACCATATAATTAGACTGACTACACCATATAATTAGAACGGAACTAGTTCTAATTCTATGGAGCATGGTTACAGTGGGGCACTTCCTACTTCCTGTTACCTCTGAACGTCATTGACCAATCGTGTCTGGAGGAGCAGGTCTCTCTTGGGAAGCAGGTGATCACAGATGAGGTTCTGATTGGCTCTCACTGCAACCCCGTTACACACACACAGAGAGCACAGGACGTCCAGGATCTAGAGAGGGGGGAGGGGGGGGAGAGAGAGAGGAGAGAGGAAGAGAGAGAGAGAGAGAGATAGGAGAGAGAGAGAGGAGAATGAGCGAGAGGAGAGAAGCGAGATAGAGATAGAAGAGAGAGATATGACCGAGAGAGAGAGAGAGAGAGAGAGCCTATGAGATGGGAGGGAGGGAGGGAGTGGAGGGAAAATAAGATTGAGGAGATCGAGAAGCGAACAAGAGAGAAGTATAAAAAATGGATTATACTATCCTCTTATACTATCCTCATTCCCACCAATTTTGGCAGCTATTTTAGATTAGTTTTAGTCTTTTGACTAAAATAGCTTTTAGTATTAGTCACATTTCAGTCATTTAATCCTTGTTAGTTTTAGTTATTATCAGTCGACTAAAACTCTGGACAATTTTCGTCTAGTTTTAGTCACAGTCATTTTAGTCCTATCTTAGTCAATACTATTTCCATTAAATAATTCATATTTAGGCTACCTCTAAATTCCATCATGTGCATATTCAGCCTTGTCCAACTAGGCCTACTAGTATACATACTATCCTATTAGCTGGCAATTGTGGCATAGTCATTATTAAGCATACTACCAACAGAGACAGTAGAGAAAGCGAGACACCCCACTCCCTCCTTTTTTTTGATCGGGGCCACTCTGATCTACTTATTGCCCTGTGGAGGGGTGCCCCAGGGCGAGACATTTCACTCGTTTTTTTCTGGTCGGGGTGGGGCGGATTGGGCGAGTGGGAGGGGACAATAAGCAGACCAGAGCCAGCTGTTCCCTCTCTTGCGTGAGCAGGCCATATATTATGGAGGAAGCGGTGGGCTGACACGGGAAAAGCGAGAGAGGAAACGTCCATTTGCACAGAAAGGAACCTTGACAAAAAAATAAAAATTCAATGGTATACGGCCTGAGTAAACTATCTTATTTATCCACCACCTTGCTACAAAGCCTTGGCTACAGGTTAATCATAACTCTCGGAGGGGGGTAAATACCAGTGAATCCATTGAGAAGGGGAGGATGTGAGCTTTCCAACAAGGCCCGAATTATTACTGTACTCCTAATATTCACTAAGTAGCATTAGTATTTCCAATCGGGGAAAAAATCACTGCAACTCGCATTTGCAGACTGCGAGAGAACGGCAACACAGGTGAATACCAGTGCACATGGTAAAATAGTTATTTGGATGAAAAAAGGAAAAACTGGCAATATGAACATTATTGTTTCTTAGCAGCCTCTCTCTCTCTCTCTCTCTCTCTCTCTCTCTCTCTCTCTCTCTCTCTCTCTCTCTCTCTCTCTCTCTCTCTCCCCCCCCCCTTCGGTTTGTCTCTGTGTAACAATAACACGCCACTTAGCAACCAAGTACTTCATTACTACCTCCCTGGGTGGGTAAATTAAGCTAATAACCCATAGAGGGGCATGCATGGCCCGTGTCTTTATTGGTTGTTAAAAGCCATTACAATTCCTGTGCTGTGCCGCGACGTGGCATGGACCAACACCTGCTGTTTACAAGACTGGGGTTGCATCCCAAATATCACCCTATTCCCTACGGGCCCTGGTCAAAAGTAGTGCACTACAAAGGGAATAGAGTGGTATTTGGGATGCAGACTGGCACTGCATGTGGCTCTATATGCCCAACTACCCAATGAACCCAGTAGGGCAAATATTGTTAGGTGAAAAGTTAACACTGCATGTAAAGCAGGCAGCCTGAGGCTATTGTTAACACCACGATGACAGCTGTGATAGCCACAGATTTACATTGTTGGGCATTGATTTACATACATTGTTGGGCATTGATTTACATACATTGTTGGGCATTGATTTACATACATTGTTGGGCATTGATTTACATACATTTTTGGGCATCTCCTCCGGGTTAACTATCTCCTCTGGGTTAACTACCTCATCTGGGTTAACTATCTCCTCCGGGTTAACTATCTCCTCCGGGTTAACTACCTCCTCTGGGTTAACTACCTCCTCCGGGTTAACTTTCTCCTCCGGGTATAGGAATGAAAGCCCAAAGCACTGCTGCTCATACTGAAGAGGTTTGGCCGTGTTTGCCTCTCTCTCAGAAAGGATTACAATAGCATTGTTTACAGCACAATATTGTCTTTCGACATGTATTGTGTGTATGTGCTGTTGAGTTTAGAACATTCAGAAGGAATTTAGAACCTTTAGAATGTTTAGATTAGACTGTATTTAGTATTGAGTTTATTAGAACATAAATAATGTGTTGTTGTTGCTGACCTTGTGGTTGCGTCCGTGTTTGTAGAGCAGGGAGATGATGGACTTGATGTGTCCTTTCTGGATGATGTTCAGAGCCTCTGGAGACTCTATCAGGATACAATGGAGCACCTCCAGGATACCTACAGTAGAGTAGAATCAGGAGACTATCAGGATGCAATAGAATACCTCCACAATACCTGAGGAAAAACAGGCTAAAACTACTGGGAGATTATGCTACAGACCTTTGTAAGAAAGGCTACTTTATTTACAGTTATAGAAATACTCTCATAATAGGCTTCATGTTTACTTACACCAGACACACACAGCATACAATTAGCTAGCTATGAATACAAGGCATTTGACTACATAAACAAACAATTCCATACCCAATATGTAAATGTAAACTCTCTATGAACTCTCTATGACCAAATCAAATCAAATGTATTGGTCGCATACACATATTTAGCAGATGTTATTGTGGGTGTAACGAAATGCTTGAACTCTCTATGTACTGTGTAGGGTACCTGATGAGGACTCCAGTCTCTCCAGCTTGCTGACCAGCCAGTCCAGGTTCCTGGAGAACTGGGTACAGTTGTTCCGGTTCCCTTTGATCAGAGAGGCTGGAGAGAGAGGTGAATAGAGGGAGATAGAGGGGTGAGTGAGGGAAAGAGGGGTGAGGAGGAGGGGTTGACAGGGATGAAAGAGTGATGCAGACATTGCAGAGGGGTGAGAGGGTGAGAGAGAGGCAGAGGCTGACAAGTCTATTTTTAGACCTCTTGTCTATGTTTGATATCTAGCTGTCTCCTCACCCAGTCATTATTCAGCATTAGCCTTAGGGACAGCAGACTGATAATGCCTGTGGGATAGTTTAACAGCATAATCTGTCAGCTAATTCATACCCCTCAACGCAGAGCCATTCGTCAACACAAACTCACAGAGAACACTGTCTGACTCTCTCTCTCTCTCTCTCTCTTCTCTCTCTCTCATCTCTCCTATCTCTTTCTATCTCTCCTCTCTCTCTTCTCTCCTCTCTCTCTTTTCTCTCTGTCCTCAGACTGCACTGGCATCCTTCAGGGTGACCCCTATGTTGGTTTAGTGAGAGGAAGTCTGGGCTGTTTTCAGTGAGGTGTGTGTGCCTGTGTGCAAGAGGATGTGTGTGTGTGTGTGTGTGTGTGTGTAGAGGATTTGAATATGAGTGCAGTCAAGGTGAACTAAGGGGAACGCGTTAAAATGATGGACCGGTTTCTGCCTCTATGACATCAACACAACAAATGGTGAACAACAGCACCACCAGACTACATATAGACAGATAATGCACTGTATATGGCTCTGCTCAAACTTCTTAGGGTAGTTTGTCACAGCAGAGACCTTGCCCCTCCTCTTCTGACCATGAGATGAAAGTATGACACGTCAAGGCTAGAGATCAGTGATAAAGCATTTGTAACTGACTATTTGTAAATAAAGTTGTCTGGGTTTTGAACATTTATCTGACTGGTGTTAACAGCCTCCCTTGTCTCACTATGCACGTCCAAAACGGCACCCTATTCCCTATATAGTGCACTACTTTTGACTAGAGCCCTATGCGCTGTGGTCAAAACTAGTGCACTATATAGGGAATAGGGTGCCATTTGTGATGCATCCACTGCCTGGACACTGCATCATGACATCACAGTGCCCAGAGCGCAGACAGGACAGGGTGTTAAGAACGGGTCACTTTTTATTTATGTGATGAAGCTTCATCCTCTCTCTCTCTCTCTCTCTCTCTCTCTCTCTCTCTCTCTCTCTCTCTCTCTCTCTCTCTCTCTCTCTCTCTCTCTCTCTCTCTCTCTCTCTCTCTCTCTCTCTCTCTCTCTCTCTCTCTCCCCTGTAAATAAAATAACTGTTATGTCACTGTTCAGATGGGGCTCAGGGAAGTATGTGTGTGTGCATGCGTGCGTGCAGAGGGGTGTTTAGAGGTGACACAGAACCCTAAGATCCATCTCTCTTACCCAGTAGTTGGTAGAGTAGATTGAGGATGTTCTTCCATGCCGCCCCAGCCTCTTCCCCAGCATGCTCTCCAAAGTGGGCAGCACTGTTGTACAGGTTGAGACGGTCGATGCACTTTACCAGCAGGGCCAACATGCCCTGAAACACACACACAAACACCAGGCTGGTCATACAATGGTTGCATCCCCAATGGCACCCTATTCCATATATAGTGCACTACTTTTGACCTGAGCTTTATGGGCCCTGGTCAAAAGTAGTGCACTACATAGGGAATAGGATACCATAATGAGTCATTATGTGAGTCGGTGCAGTGATACATGTTTCTAGAACTTCCTACATGAAAATAGGTACATTTACATATCTGGTGGAAGTCTCTTTTAGCCAGAGGTGGGACAAAGAAGAATTCACTTTCACTACAAAACAGTTCTGAGATCTGGGATGTGAAAACTTGATGCTCAAAATCGAAAAACGATGCGTTGTGCCGATAGAACCTTATAGTCCCAAGGTCACGAAATCTTTGTGTATTTATTGAGGAACCAGACAGCCCTTTTCATTGCTTTGACTACAGTGGGGGAAAAATGTATTTAGTCAGCCACCAATTGTGCAAATTCTCCCACTTAAAAAGATGAGAGAGGCCTGTAATTCTCATCATAGGTACACATCAACTATGACAGACAAAATGAGAAAAAAAAATCCAGAAAATCACATTGTAGAATTTTTTATGAATTTATTTGCAAATTATGGTGGAAAATAAGTATTTGGTCAATAACAAAAGTTTCTCAATACTTTGTTATATACCCTTTGTTGGCAATAACACAGGTCAAACGTTTTCTGTAAGTCTTCACAAGGTTTTCACACACTGTTGCTGGTATTTTGGCCCATTCCTCCATGCAGATCTCCTCTAGAGCAGTGATGTTTTGGGGCTGTCGCTGGGCAACACGGACTTTCAACTCCCTCCAAAGATTTTCTATGGGGTTGAGATCTGGAGACTGGCTAGGCCACTCCAGGACCTTGAAATGCTTCTTACGAAGCCACTCCTTCTTTGCCCGGGCGGTGTGTTTGGGATCATTGTCATGCTGAAAGACCCAGCCACGTTTCATCTTTAATGCCCTTGCTGATGGAAGGAGGTTTTCACTCAAAATCTCACGATACATGGCCCCATTCATTCTTTCCTTTACACGGATCAGTCGTCCTGGTCCCTTTGCAGAAAAACAGCCCCAAAGCATGATGTTTCCACCCCCATGCTTCACAGTAGGTATGGTGTTCTTTGGATGCAACTCAGCATTCTTTGTCCTCCAAACACGACGAGTTGAGTTTTTACCAAAAAGTTCTATTTTGGTTTCATCTGACCATATGACATTCTCCCAATCCTCTTCTGGATCATCCAAATGCACTCTAGCAAACTTCAGACGGGCCTGGACATGTACTGGCTTAAGCAGGGGGACACGTCTGGCACTGCAGGATTTGAGTCCCTGGCGGCGTAGTGTGTTACTGATGGTAGGCTTTGTTACTTTGGTCCCAGCTCTCTGCAGGTCATTCACTAGGTCCCCCCGTGTGGTTCTGGGATTTTTGCTCCCACATTTGATTTCTTCAAACCAAGCTGCTTACCTATTGCAGATTCAGTCTTCCCAGCCTGGTGCAGGTCTACAATTTTGTTTCTGGTGTCCTTTGACAGCTCTTTGGTCTTGGCCATAGTGGAGTTTGGAATGTGACTGTTTGAGGTTGTGGACAGGTGTCTTTTATACTGATAACAAGTTCAAACAGGTGCCATTAATACAGGTAACGAGTGGAGGACAGAGGAGCCTTTAAGTTACAGGTCTGTGAGAGCTAGAAATCTTACTTGTTTGTAGGTGACCAAATACTTATTTTCCACCATAATTTGCAAATAAATTCATTAAAAATCCTACAATGTGATTTTCTGGATTTTTCTTTCTCAATTTGTCTGTCATAGTTGACGTGTACCTATGATGAAAATTACAGGCATCTCTCATCTTTTTAAGTGGGAGAAAATGCACAATTGGTGGCTGACTAAATACTTTTTTTCCCCACTATTGTACAATATGAGGAGAAAATTATAGTCCCAAAAAAGCTTTCCAGTTTCACTGACTCACCCAATAATGCACAGCTCACTCACCTGTGATGGACGATGCTCTCTTGCTAAAAGTCTATCTCTCTCTTGTTTTACTGTAAAACAATACTGTTCGCTCAATAGGCCTATTTGGAAGTTGATAACATATTTGGTAGCCTACAGACTGATTAATCTTCTCTTTTCAGCAGGATCCATTTCAATTGAGAGGTGCCGGATCCTGTTCCAGCAGGATCCAGCTCAAATTAAGCACTGCCTTTAACCCTGATTAAACCTGAGGTCCCAGAGCCCTGGGAGCTCACCTCGTCTTTGAAGAGGTCCTGTCGTTTGATGAGAGATCTCAGCAGAGTCTGTTTCTCCTCATGTTCCAGCTCTGAGTCAGGCTGTTTGAAGTACTCAATCAGATCATCCAGAGTCTGCAACACCTCGTCAAAGTTAGGCAGGGACACCTCCACATTCTTATCCCCCCCTATACTGTCAAGACCCCTAGGGGAGGGGGGCAGGGAGAGGTTGGGGGGAGAGGAAGAGTGAGAAAAAGGAGGAAGGAGAGAGGGATAAACAGAGGGAAAAAGAGAGTGACATAAAACAAATGTACTGTTGATAGGCTACATTAATATCACTTATCCACAATTGTCTCAAATCACCTCAATTGTTTTCAAATTACATCGCACAAATACTACAGCAGATAGTTTCCGATATCAGTCACTGGAAGTGAATCCACCGGAAGGCTAATTTCATGAGAGCTAATCCATGCCTAATCACACAAAAGCAGGAAAATTGCCATCGCTTCTGCAGCTGTGATTGGATCTCTCTTGCGCAAGTTAATGTAAATCGTCTTGGCATTCAGTAGCATTCAGGAGCATTCAGTAGCATTCAGGAGCATTCAGTAGTATTCAGGAGCATTCAGGAGCATTCAGGAGCATTCAGGAGCATTCAGGAGCAGTCAAGATATAGAACCACTAATGTATGATCCTGCTTCAGGCACCAACTAGCTCATACAAAATTAGTCCAACTGTGTTCTGTATTTTCTGGAATAGATGACGGTCCTTAAACTGTCTAGGTTACCAATGCAGCACACACACACACACACACTAACACACACACACACACACACACACACTAACACACACACACACACACACACACTAACACACACACACACACACTAACACACACACACACACACTAACACACACACATACACACACACATCCCTACTTGATGAAGTGGCTGAAGAGGACGGTGGTGTTCCTGATGATGCGTACAGCCCGCGCCTCCTCGTGTTGACAACGCTGAAGGGTCAGACCGTCGTCCATGTGACCCTCAGCATGCAGACAGGCCTGTCTCGCAAATACACAACACACACATTATAGACAGACATTATTAGAAGTAGTTAACACGGACATTACCACAAACAGGTATCTGTGCAACTCAATGTAACGTGTCGTCCCTTGTTCCTCATTATTCACATGCAGAGCCATATACTGTATATAGAGCGTGTTGAATATTGTTCTGATTCTAGACGTTCAGTTACATAGCATTGTTTAAATATTCCCCATGGAATGTTAATGGGGAGCTATCATGGCTGCCATAGAATGTTGAAGTGTCATGTAAATGCATCATAATGCAGAAACCACATTGGTCCAACTCTCTAAATACATGGTTCTGATCACACCCAATCAAGTGAGGCATTATATGAGCTGTCTGAGCTGTGAGTTGGCAGAGGTCTCCTCCTCTACCCCAGTTAGCGCCCACCCAGGATGGGTCAGGACATTTAGACGTGATAATGAGAGATGGATGGTGACAGTTTGTGACAGTTATCTTTTCTGAGAGAGGAGGGATCCACTTCTGTCTCTCTCTCCTCCTCCCCAGTCTCTCTCCATCTCTCTCTCTCTCTCCCTCCCTACCGGCTCTTCTCTCTCTGTCTCTGTCTCTCTCTGTCTCTCTCTGTCTCTCTCTCTCTCTCTCTCTCTCTCTCTCTCTCTCTCTCTCTCTCTCTCTCGTCTCTCTCTCTCTCTCTCTCTCTCTCTCTCTCTACCGGCTCTTTTCTCTCTCCATCTCTCCCTCCCCAACAGCTCTTCTGTCTCTCTCCCTCTCCCTCCCTCCCTCTCTCTCCCTCTCTCCCTCTCTCCCTCTCTCCCTCTCTCCCTCCTTCCATCCCTCCCTCTCTCCCTCCCTCCCTCCTCTTCACTTCCCTATAGGTCACCTTACTGGAAAAACCATTGGATTATGCAAAGTATGTTTTCATACCCTTCACAGAGAGAGGGGAAAATACAGGTCTCAGACATCAAAGTAAATATGTCAGTGTGTATGGAGGTGTGTAACATGTGACAGTGTCTTCTCTCTCTCTCTCTCTCGCTCTCTCTCTCTCTCTCTCTCTCTCTCCTCTCTCTCTCTCTCTCTCTCTCCCTCCCTCCCTCCCACTGGCTTTTCTCTCTCTATCTATCTCTCTCTCCCTCCCCACCACAGGGCTGCCAACTTTTGAAGAAAGCTTGGAGTGAGATTAGCTATGTGAATTTCATTGCCCCCTGGCACAATCTCTAGTGGGGGACTGTTTTAAAGCTAATTTCTATTTTTTTTTTTCTTTTTACATGGCTTAGGCCTATGACCAGGGTGGGAAATTAGATGTACTCAGGATGCTTTGAACATTAAATGTACACTCAAAATTCAACGACTTTGTTACTTTGAGATTTTTTGGGGGGATGAAATGTAAAGTATGCAAGGTGGTTTGACACTTTATTCAGGCAGTAATGACATGAGATAGGGAGACAGGCACATGCTAGAAACAGTGGGAAGGCTGGAGGCAGGGACTGATCCCTGTTCTCTTCTGGAAAGTTGTATGCGACGTGCCGGGGAGTGTTACCACTACACCAAGGCTCTGCACAGGACAGTTTTATAGTAATGGTTGATGGCAGTGGGTAACCAAATCATAGATTGCAGTCTGCTTATCCATAGACTGCTTTCAAGGTTAGGACACAAACGTTCTATATTTTTTAATGTGGGTGAACTATCTCTTTGAAATAGGGCTGAAAGAAAACCCTGCTAGCTCTCCAGGAGGGTTGGCCATCCCTGATCTATGTTTCCCAAGTGCTGGGTGTTAGAAAATGTTATTGTTATGACAATACATTTCTCAAAATCACCGAACCTTCAAGAAAAATCGAATGAATATCAATATTCAGGTGGTTGATGCCTACTTGTTGAAGATCCCTGCCATCCCTGCCATCAAGTTCTGGCCTGGTTTAGATCTTACCTGTCGGAAAGATATCAGTTTGTCTCTGTGAATGGTCTGTCCTCCGACAAATCAACTGTACATTTCGGTGTTCCTCAAGGTTCCGTTTTAGGACCACTATTGTTTTCACTATATATTTTACCTCTTGGGGATGTTATTCGAAAACATAATGTTAACTTTCACTGCTATGCGGATGACACACAGCTGTACATTTCAATGAAACATGGTGAAGCCCCAAAATTGCCCTCGCTAGAAGCCTGTGTTTCAGACATAAGGAAGTGGATGGCTGAAAACGTTCTACTTTTAAACTCGGACAAAACAGAGATGCTTGTTCTAGGTCCCAAGAAACAAAGAGATCTTCTGTTAAATCTGACAATTCATCTTGATGGTTGTAAAGTCGTCTCAAATAAAACTGTGAAGGACCTCGGCGTTACTCTTGACCCTGATCTCTCTTTTGACGAACATATCAAGACTGTTTCAAGGACAGCTTTTTTCCATCTACGTAACATTGCAAAAATCAGAAATTTTCTGTCCAAAAATGATGCAGAAAAATTAATCCATGCATTTGTTACTTCTAGGTTAGACTACTGCAATGCTCTACTTTCCGGCTACCCGGATAAAGCACTAAATAAACTTCAGTTAGTGCTAAATACGGCTGCTAGAATCCTGACTAGAACCAAGAACTTTGATCATATTACTCCAGTGCTAGCTTCCCTACACTGGCTTCCTGTTAAGGCAAGGGCTGATTTCAAGGTTTTACTGTTAACCTATAAAGCGTTACATGGGCTTGCTCCTACCTATCTTTCCGAGTTGGTCCTGCCGTACATACCAATACGTACGCTACGGTCACAAGACGCAGGCCTCCTAATTGTCCCTAGAATTTCTAAGCAAACAGCGGGAGGCAGGGCTTTCTCCTATAGATCTCCATTTTTATGGAACAGTCTGCCTACCCATGTGAGAGACGCAGACTCGGTCTCAACCTTTAAGTCTTTACTGAAGACTTATCTCTTCAGTAGGTCATATGATTGAGTGTAGTCTGGCCCAGGAGTGTGAAGGTGAACGGAAAGGCTCTGGAGCAACGAACAGCCCTTGCTGTCTCTGCCAGGCCGGTTCCCCTCTCTCCACTGGGGTTCTCTGCCTCTAACCCTGTTACAGGGGCTGAGTCACTGGCTTGCTGGTGCTCTTTCATGCCGTCCCTAGGAGGGGTGCGTCACTTGAGTGGGTTGAGTTACTGACGTGATCTTCCTGTCTGGGTTGGCGCCCCCCCCTTGGTTTGTGCTGTGGTGGAGACCTCTGTGGGCTATACTCGGCCTTGTCTCAGGATTGTAAGTTGATGGTTGAGGATATCCCTCTAGTGGTGCGGGGGGCTGTGCTTTGGCAGAGTGGGTGGGGTTATATCCTTCCTGTTTGGCCCTGTCCGGGGGTTTCTTCGGATGGGGCCACAGTGTCTCCGGACCGCTCCTGTCTCAGCCTCCAGTATTTATGCTGCAGTAGTTTATGTGTCGGGGGGCTGGGGTTAGTTGGTTATACCTGGAGTACTTCTCCTGTCTTATCCAGTGTCCTGTGTGAATTTAAGTATGCTCTCTCTAATTCTCTCGTTCTCTCTTTCTCTCTGAGAACCTGAGCCCTAGGACCATACGTCAGGACTACCGGGCATGCTGACACCTTGCTGTCCCCAGTCCGCCTGGCCTTGCTGCTATTCCAGTTTCAACTGTTCTGCCTGCGGTTACGAAACCCCTACCTGTCCCAGACCTGCTGTTTTCAACTCTTAATGATCGGCTATGAAAAGCCAACTGAGAGACCTGAGCCCTAGGACCATACGTTGGGACTACCGGCCGTGGTGACTCCTTGCTGTCCCCAGTCCGCCTGGCCTTGCTGCTATTCCAGTTTCAACTGTTCTGCCTGCGGTTATGGAACCCCTACCTGTCCCAGACCTGCTGTTTTCAACTCTTAATGATCGGCTATGAAAAGCCAACTGAGATTTATTCCTGATTATTATTTGACCATGGTTGTCACTTATGAACATTTTTGAACATCTTGGCATGGTTCTGTTATAACCTCCACCCGGCACAGCCAGAAGAGGACTGGCCACCCCTCATAGCCTGGTTCCTCTCTAGGTTTCTTCCTAGGTTTTGGCCTTTCTAGGGAGTTTTTCCTAGCCACCGTGCTTCTACACCTGCATTACTAGCTGTTTGGGGTTTTAGGCTGGGTTTCTGTACAGCACTTCGAGATATTAGCTGATGTACGAAGGGCTATATAAAATAAAATTGATTGATTGATCATCTTACTCTGCACAGACTAAAGATGATGTTTATGAGTTGTGAGTCCCCCTACCATCTCTGCCTAGCATGTGCTCAACACTAAAATGTCACCTTTATTTAACCAGGTAAGCCAGTTGAGAACAAGTTCTCATTTACAACTGCGACATGGCCAAGATAAAGCAAAGCAGTGCGATAAAAACAACAACAACAACGCAGAGTTACATATGGGGTAAAACAAAAACGTACAGTCAATAACACAATAGAAAATATATATACAGTGTGTGCAAATGTAGTAAGTTATGGAGGTAAGGCAATAAATAGGCTATAGCGCAAAATAATTACAATTTAGTATTAACACTGGAGTGATAGATGTGCAGAAGATGATGTGCAAATAGAGATACTGGGGTGCAAATGAGTAAAAATAAATAACAATATGGGGATGAGGTAGTTGGGTGGGCTAATTACAGATGGGCTGTGTACAGGTGCAGTGATTGGTAAGATGCTCTGACAACTGATGCTTAAAGTTAGTGAGGGAGATAAAAGTCTCCAGCTTCAGAGATTTTTGCAGTTCGTTCCAGTCATTAGGAGCAGAGAACTGGAAGGAATGGCGGCCAAAGGAGGTGTTGGCTTTGGGGATGACCAGTGAGATATACCTGCTGGAGCGCATACTACGGGTGGGTGTTGCTATGGTGACCAATGAGCTAAGATAAGGCGGGGATTTGCCTAGCAGAGATTTATAGATGACCTGGAGCCAGTGGGATTGGCGCCGAAAATGTAGTGAGGGCCAGCCAACGAGAGCGTACAGGTGACAATGTTGGGTAGTATATGGGGCTTTGGTGACAAAACGGAT